TCAGAATGACTAGTTACACAGATATGAAACTTCCAAAAATACAAAATCGAACAAGAAGTGGATTAAATGGCTTAAATGGCCCCAAAATAGGTAAACTCTAAATGAGTGAATATTCATAGAACAACGATTTTCCGCAGCAAACACCACTAAGAAAAAGTGTTAGTAAAAATATTATCTACAAGGTAAGCAAAGTGAAAATAATCCGCCGTAATAGTGACAGAACTAGCAAATGACGCAATAATAAGTATCTACACCATCTAGATTATTTTAATGTCTGTAAAATATTTTTAAAAAATTCTAATCAGGTATTATGTATGTAAATAAGTAAATTTTAGTAAATTACTTACCTAGCTTATTTTTCGTCTTGTTTTGGAACTAAACGCTAAATATAGAACAAGTTACTTTTTTCGCGAGGAGCCGGATAATTGAGCGATCGATCGGTTTTCGACAATATTGTTTCGCCGGGATGAATGTGGGCTTTGAAGAACCCCACGTCGTACGAGGAGTTCCGAGAAATTTTTTAAATTATAATACCGCATCGGCGCCTTTTGACTTTTGACGCCGTCGTGCATCAATGAAATTTAAAAACTGCCTCCAAACTGAGTAATTGGAAATTGTTTAATATTAGTGTTTTTTCGCCATATTTCCCGTTGAAGTAACCGACTTGTCGATGTTCGGTTAACAATTAATTACCATTATTCGATCATCCGGCGCGGTTTCACATGGCTTATGAAAAAGTGATTTTCTCTTTAAATTGTGCAATCAGAGTCCAATTAGTGCTTTTGCACACATCGAGGCGGCTTTGTTCTTACCGAGAATTCCCACATGCACGGTTCCTACCGCCTCTTTGACCGCATCCACGGCCTTTTTGCCCAAGGAGAAATCCGCTTGGATAATCTTGGTCTTCACGTGATGAAGACTTTCTGGAAATTCATTGATTGAGTGAATTGTCGGGAATGCGCGCACTTACCAACCGATTTCCTTTTGAGTTCGGCTCAGCTTTTCCAGGCTTCGGCTCACCAGGATCACGTTCACTCCTCTTTTAGCCAGCTCGAATGCGTAGGCTTTTCCAATACCGTCAGTTGAACCAGTAATTACTAAAAAATTAAGAATTTCATTAATACGAGAGGGTACAAATGTGATCTGCTATTCTCAGGCCCTTTAGGATGGCGTAAAACATGGGGAAATAAGGTGCAGGTTTCGGGAGTGTTGTTTTCAGGCTCAACCCACTTATATCAGCAATTTTCCATTAATCATCATTGTGCAATATATACAATTTTTAGGTTCTTGTGGGAGTTTCACTTTTTTTGCCAATGGTTCCTAAACAGATCTTCCTTTGTGTGATTTCTCTCGGTCCTCATTGGAAATTATTGCCTACTCTACCATTACAAAATTTGCATTTATTATTGCAATATTTCATTCCATTAAGCAATTTTGCCACATCCAATGGGTTTCAGCGCTCGTTCTTCTACTGATGTGTGTTATTGTCGGTAGGTGAATGGCAAAACATTTATTACCAGTAAAGTTCAAGTTGGTTATTATTAACAAATTATTCATGCATATTTGCCTTTTCAGTGTTGGTGTTCTTGGTTGGGGATTGTTTGTTCCAGATTTTCTATACCTGGACGGTCTTAAGGAAGTTTTTTAGTCATGTCATTTCAATTACGCGATATTTGGCCTCTGCTCGATTACGATCGTGTAATTTCACACACAAACCATGTTTTCCCCACAAGTATCGTTCGTTGCTTACTTATACTAATTGCCGTTTAATTGCCTCTAATTGTTGTAACAATTGTTTTTTATTTATAGCAAAAAGATCGCTTTTGTGCCATTTTTTAAGGGACATTTACTCGATAATCTGCTGGCAGTTTTGGAAAACTCGCTCTTTCCGAAACCGTTTCTTCTGTTTGTTGGTAGAGCTGGAAACGTTCATGTGATGGCATTGTGTAGTCTAAAGTTGGTTGTTTCAATGCTGAAAGTTTGGCTTTTGTGCCTTTATTGGGGATTTTTCAAGAAATTTTTCGTATTGTCAGTTTTGTTAAATCGCAACTTTGCCTTGCCGCACTGGGTGTTCTGAATGTTGAATGAATTTTTTGGAAATCGACTATCAAAAGACAGATTTGGGAGCGTTTTCTTCGCAACGAATTTCTTCTAAGGCATTTGAAGTACACAAGGTTTACTTTTTTCGGAATTGTCCCTGTTTCTCCATTTTGAGTCGAAATCCAAAAAAAAATATTTGAAAAAACGCCTTTTGCAATGAATATATTGGCTGTGAATAAAGTAAGTGAAGTGAATTTATTTTGTTCAAATTGAGAGGTTTGTTTGTGCGCCGACTTTTGGAGGTTTTTTGAAAAGTCGAAACTTCAAATTGGTTTATTGAAGAACTGGAACTTTGACAAGATTAATTCTCTATCTTTTTTAAATTTGGATACATTTTTTCCTGTGAGTTACTTTTTGCTACCATTCTTGAAACTGAAAGCTGTGAAAGCCCAGTGAAGAATTTTTTGAGAACGTTTTGAAGCTGTTTCATTCGCTTCACAAGCATTTGGGCTGTGCAAACTTCCTTTTTCAAGATTGCTTTAGTTGAATAATATGAAAAGGTAAAAGCTTGCCATTAACAGCGTTTTATAGAGCAAGGTTGGAGTCTCGAAAGTTTCGTTTTTCTGTGATCGTCAGGGCTTTTTTAAGATTTTTTGAATTTGCAATTGCAAGCTTCCTACTTTAAGGTTGCGTTAGTTGATTATCCTAAGAGGTAAAAGCTTGCGATTAACAACGTCTTGTAGGGCAAGAGGCGTTGTTCTGTGATTTTCAGAGTTTTTTTGGAATTTTTTTGAGTTTGGCTCAGTTTATCGGCAACAAGGCGTGCAAACTTCTCTCTTTAAAAGTACTTCAGTTCAACATCTAAAGAAATAAAAAAAATCATTAACAGCGTCTTGTAGAGCAAGGTAAGCAGTGTATGAGCGCTGAAATTTTCGCTTTATGTGATTTTCAGCATTTTGTTGTGAATTTTTTGAGTTCAGCTTAGTTTGTCGGCAACACGGCGCGAATACTTTCTTTCTTAAGACCGCTTTAGTTAATAATCCGAAGGCAGAAAAGCTTGCGATTAACAGCCTTTATTGTAGAGCGAAGTCAGTTGTATGAACCTTGAAAGTTTCGGTTGTATGCCATCATTAGGAATAGGTGGGCCATTTTTTTTATTTCGCTCATTGTTTGGCAACATGGTGTGCAAACTTTGCTCTTCAAAATTGAGTTCTTTGAGGTAAAGGATTGGCATTGGTAACCTGTTGTTGAAAAAAGTTGCTTCTACGAGCCCCGAAAGTTTCGGTTTTGTGGCCTCATCAGGGATTTTTTGACATGTTTCAACAATTCGGTTCATTTCGTTGGCGACAAGGCTCATTAAAATTTCATTTTTTCAGATAAAAGATTGGTATTAGCAACCTTTTGCAGAGAAACGTCAGTTGCTTGGGGCCTGAAAGTTTGGCTTTTCTATCATCATCATCATCAGGGATTTTTAGAGAAATTTATTCTGTAACACTTCTCTCTGCACTGTTGCGTTCTTGGAACACTAGAGGAAATAAATGGTTGTCAATAGAAAAATGTTGAATTGGGAAAGTCGTGGTACCCCCCAAAGTTTCGCTTTCGGGTCATCATCAGAGATTTTTTGGGATTTTTGACTATTGCTCACAGCCAAGCATTGAATGAGTTGCCAGAAGAGTCATAGACACTTTGCAAGTTATGTGAACCTTGTTTCTCTTTTGGGCCATCGTCGGGGAATTGAAGTTGAACTGGTGCAGACTTCTAATTAGAGCTTAGTGTTTTTTTTGTAAAGACGCAAAAGGCTTCAAATTTACTTAGTTTCCACTTTGTGCCTTTTTGTCAAAGAACACTTGTTAGATAATCGCAAGCATTTTGCCAAAAAAACACAAATTTACTGCTTTCCTTTTTGAAAGCACAGTCAGTTAGTGCGTAAGTAGACCGGCGAATTTCCATTTTGATTTGCATTTATTAACGCGCGAGAAATAATTCATGCAAGCATTAACAATATCAGCACTTTGAAGTTCAAAGTCCGCGCGCGTACAGGCCAAATAGAAACGAATCTGCAGCAAAAAAACTGATTGATAATTTTTTTCAAATTGCAGCCAACTTACATGCCCATGCCCCGTATTTGCGAGCCAACGCGTTCTCTTCGTTGGGTAGAAACAATGGGGCGAGCACGGCCCTGGCCACCTGCAGCAGACTCCAGATCAGATCCAGGAAGAAGAACAGGATGGTAAGCGCGCCAACGGCCAGCAGGAGGAGGGTAAGTACCGAAAACTCCATCATTCAGCCCTGGAAATTAGTCAATTTGCTTATTATCTACGTGTGGCAGCTCGTTGGTTTCATTGATTGCCACACACTCTGCGCTTGGTCAACCTTGATCACATATCCATAAAGCTGGCCACCGGTTTCAGCATGTCTTTGGGTGGTTTTTCTTCTAAAAGTAGGTGAAGGTGAGAGAGCGCTGCTGAAGAATTGCAGTTCGATTCTACGTTTGTACAAAGATTCTATGTTTGCTAGACTATTGGCGCAACAAGTAGCCAACTATTAAAGGCGGAGGTTTCTCCCTGGGGCGTGTTTGATGATGAACACCAGGAGCCACTTTATGAGCGACTGAAACATGTTCTGCCATGCATAAAGCTGCATGAGTTGCAATTGTTATTGCGCGCTTTTTTCGTTCGGACGTTAATTGGACATGGAGTGGGTTTCAAAATCCATTCGAATTTCGACTGGGAAGGTTAAACTCGGTCGGATATGGAACAATTATCGGTAACTAAATATGAAGAAATTGGCCAACTAATGGTAAAGCAGTGGAAAAATGCAAAATCAATTATTAGCATTAATGTTGGTCTGGCGGGTTAACAAAGCGCGTTGTGAAATTTTTGTGGGTTTTTTTCGAAATTTGCCGCTCCAGTCTGCGACAACGTTAGCTTCAATTGAAATTGCCCAACTTGTTCGGTGTCTTGAACTTTGATTTAATGCAAGAACAAGAGCGTTTAACTGGTCTCGTTGACCATTCGTGTTTTGTAATAGTGAGTTCTGTCTGAAACAGTTCACTGGAAAAAACTCCAGTCGATTTCTTAAGACGGACTTTCAGTTGCTTTTAGCGCAGTACTTACTGTTTGATGCTTTTAAATCCTCTTAAACACTGTTCACATGCAACACACTGCTTCTAAAACATTGCGTCCCGATCGAGCCCACTTTGCGCCTTATCGTACTGATAAAACAGCACTTTTGAAAATTACTGTACACAATCGGTGACTATAGTAGATTAACCTCCCTACTACTCCTACTTGGAGCTTATTGTAGTCGTACTTTCGATTCAGGCGGTTCAGTTGGGATCTTTATTGTTTATGCCGCCGGAATTGTTGATACCGCAAATCCGAGTTGATGGGGAGGAAGAAGAAGAGTGGCTGTGAAACGTTGACGATGAATGGTTTATTAATGCGGCTAAGAACCATGACCTCATTTCGGCTGGATTTGTTGTTGGTCCATGTTTTTCACCCTTCTATTGACGTAATAATAATAATAATAATAACTTGAAATGTTCGTGTATTTTTTGCAAGGCGCAAACATGCATCAGGACGCACGAACGTCCATAAATGCACTTCTGGAGCCAATTAACGCGGTTTTTCCTTTAAATGATCTCCGCTTTCGGAGTACTGTTTATTGCTCAACATCAACCTAATCATTCAGTTGATTGAACCGTTTTTATCGGGGTTTCAATGCGTCAATCTACGCACTTTGAAATGAAAATGCTTTTGTTTTGTGAAAAGCGTCAATTCTTTCAACTGCGGTTTCAAAATTTGGATTTGTACTGGAAATTGAGTGTAATTTCAACTCTTTGATGATTGTTTTGGATTAAAACTGGCATTAATTTGCTCGTTTTTCTAGCAAAAGTCGAAAATCTTTGTGAAATATGTTAAATATTTAGTGGCTGAGACATAAAGTGGCAAATATTCCTGCTAAACTTGAAATTTGATCAATAAGTTCATTGGAGGTTTGTTAGCAGTTGAAAACGGTACATTTATATACGGAAAATGCTTTCTACTTGAAGACTTTACTGAAAAATCCCGAAATATTTCCACCAAATTTGGAAAAATCTCATGTTTTCACTATAACCGACGAATTTTCCATGCAAAGTTTAAAAACTATAAACTACAGCTGAATTATTCAGGTTTTTGAATCGACAAGTGACAACAAAGTTAAACTTTCGTGGCAATCGCTTGAAACTTCTGGGTTCTTCGAGCTTTTGGCCAGTCGTAAAATGTGTGAAAACACTCCGCATAAGAAAACATAATCCTTAGAAAAAAAATCTGCACTAGTTGAAAAACTTGGCAAACATTTCCTGATGATGGCACAAAAGTGAAACTTTCATGGTTCTCATAGCAACCCTTGCAAAGGGGTTTTGCATGAAAGCTCTTATATTCTGTGGCATTCAAGTGATGATAGCATAGATAGCATTCAGTGCTTGCTGCAAAAAAGTAGTCAAATTCGAAAAATCCTCAAAAACCGCTGATGATGACCCAGGAGCGAAAATCTCGGGTGTTACAAGTGACTGCCCTTCAACATTTTGTTATCAGGTAGGAAAATTAAAAAAAAATCAATAAAAATTCCTGATGATGTGAGAACAGCGAAACGTTCAGGATTCATTCAACCGACTGTGATTTACAACAGCCTATTCATGCCACATTTGCATCAGTATAATAATAATAATTTCATTTTGAACGTATTTTCCATGCAAATTTGTATTATTTATGAAAGGAAATGTGGCAAAAGAGTTAAGCTTTCGAGAACATCGCTTGAAAGTTTTGAGTTTTTCGGGCTTTTGTCGTGTAAAGGAGCTTGTAACATTTCTTAACAAAAGAGCGCAAAGTCGAAATTTGTCAAATTTTTACAGATAAGTTCAGCGGGCACATTTTAAGCCTTCTTGTCTGTATAAATAAGAACCTAAACTCGAAACATCAAAACGATTTTTGGAAAAGTCTTGTCCTTAAAAAATTGCACTAGTTCAAAAATCCGCAAAAATTCTTTGATGATGGCACCAAAGAGAAACTTTGAATATTTTCATCACTTGAAAAGTGCCTTTGTAGGAAAGCTTTTTCGTTTTGTCCTGCAATCAACTGATTTAATGCTGGCAAAATAGTAGTCAAATTCGAAAAATCCTCAAAAAATCTTTGATGATGACCCAAGAGCGAAACTTTCGGGGGTCTTAAAACTGCATTTGCCTTTGAACCTTTTGCGGTTAGCAAACAATTATTCATTTTTCTGTTCGAAGAACGCAATAGTAAAGAGAAAAGTTTGAGAGAAAAACTTCGAAAGATTCTTCAAAAATCCCTGATGATGCCAGAGAAGCGAAACTGTTAGGATTCATACAACCGACTTTGATCAACAACGGCTTACTAACGCCAAACTGTTAAATCAAAGAATTTAATTTTGAAGAGACGTTTGCACGCGTTGTTGCCGACAAAATGTATCAAAGTTTAAAAAAGTCTCAAAAAATCGCTGAGGATGACACAAAACCGAAACTTTCAGAGCTCATACAACTGACTTTCCTCTACCAGATGCTGTAATGCGCAAGATTCTATCTCTTCCAGCATTCAATAAAATCAATTTTGCAGAAAGTGGCGCAGTCTGCCGACAAAATGGGTCAACTTCGAAAAATCCTCAAAAAAACCTTGAAGTTGACATAGAAACGAAACTGGCTGGTTTTCTTAAACTGACTTAAATTTTTTAGTTAGTTAGCGGAATGTAAACTGGATCAATTTATCAGTATTATTCTGGCGAAAAAGTTGTGAATTTGACTTAGGGAAGTTATTGACGATTTCATTGTCTTCTCGATAAAAGCTTCGTCGTTGGTTTGGATCAAAAAATTAAAAAAGCCTTCTAAAGGCCACATTTCTCCCTCTTCAATTTTATTAATTATTGACAAATTGCCGTAATATTTGGCCTCAGTTTATCAAAGAACGATTCACCGACATCCGCCTCATTGTGCTCGAGTCGCGTTCTTATTTTTGGGATTCTGATTTATTAAGCAAATATTTTTTATTATTGACTGTTTATCACTCTCAGATATAATAAGTCTTCGCTTATTTGCTTTTGATCACGTTTCGTTTTCCGCGTTCATTTATTAGGAAACGCAGGGTTTGTTTTGATGTTTTATACATCGAAGATCATCACCGCTAATCGGCTCATGGCCAGTGAAATATTTGTAGTTTTGTCAATTTCATGAAAATTCATAGCGGGCAAAAGTCGGTAAATATTGAACTGTTGACAACGTTGTTGTTTGGGATAGGGTTTGATGCGATTGCAAGCGAAACGTCGACGGTGGTTTTGATCTGAGGCATTTGGGAAAAGTGTTCCAAACTGAAAAGTTATCAGTCAACTGAACTTTTGATGGTTGTCTGACCAAAGGCATCACAAAATGCAAATTTTCACCCCTGAGTCAACCGAGTCTTCTCTTTGCAATGAGCTATTGGAAAATTTTCCGAACAATTGCAACTTTCAGCATTTATACAGGCGACTTTTGTCTTCGAAATGAGCTGAAAATCAACCTTCCAGCTGCTATGGCTTGTGTCTGAGGCTTTTTGAAAAAATGTGCTGTAAAAATATCTTAAGCTGAAAAATCCACACTCAAGTTATGGTTTGATGATCCCGCAAAGTTTTTCCATATACCTATGGCCCAAAAATCAAATTTCTCGAACTCGTTCAGCCGAGTTTTCTCCCTACAATGAGCTGAAATGAACTTTAAAGCTGCCTTTTTGGAAAGATGCCCACAAAAAAGCCTAAATCCAGAATTCGAATTTCAGCTCAGTGTGCAAAATTTCTGGAAATTGCAACTAAATGCAGGAAAAATTTGGAAATTTTGCCGTTGGTACGTTTTCTGTATAAAACGAACCGGAAGCCAACTATTTAGCTGCCATGGTTGGTGTGTGAGGCATTTTGGAAAAATGTCCTGCAAAAAGCTCCTAAATGACCAGGCAAAGTTAGACTAAATGCACCCAGATATTCAAAATTTCCTGACTTGTTCTACCGAGTTCGCTCCTTACAATGAACTAAAAGGAAAGTTTCCACTTGCCTTAGTTTCATTGGGGAGCCCTTTGGAAAAATTGCTGGGAAAACTTTAAAACAAGCCGCTTTGGGAATTTAATGTTCAAATTTGTTCGTCGAGTTGGACTTTTCGTGAACGTTTTCGGTTTCGTTTCCGCAGCCTCATAAATAAAAATCCCATGAAGTAACCGATTTGACTTTCACCAGACACGTGAAAATGATCAATTTTAAAGAGCGCAGATTGGATATGGGCGTTTTTTGCGCGACAAATGAAGCAAGCTGGACGATTATGTGGAAATCGGAGCAAGCATTTATCGAAAAAGTCGTTATGGTCATTTAGGTGGTTTAGTGCTTAGTGCTGCGCGCACTGTTGGGGCGATTTGAAGACAGCACCTGGTCCAAGTTGCATCATGATCGGAAGAGTTTCGAAGTACTTTCCGCTGGCATTCGTCTAGGCTAATTGTCACACTTGGGATTTATTGCGCCATAAAACCATTGTGCTCGCTAATAAGTGAATGCTAATGATCGGCAGATTCATTGCGATTGTTGCATAAGCAACGAGGAAATATTTCTTCGCGTATTTTCGAAACGATGTCGACTTGATTGATCTCTCATCCAAGAAGCCACTTTTCAAGCTAAAATTCCGATGAAACAATGAAGTGGAGAGTAAATTCGCTGCAGCCTTTGCTGGATGGTCTTTATGGGGACATTAAGGGGCTAATGGGCGCGCGGTGACACATAATTTGGGGGGTAATTATCTGGTAGATAATGTCGAGTGCACTTGAACAGAGGGGCACATGTGAAAAATCGATGTCTGGGAAAACCCGCCTTTTCTTGATAATCCCCGCTGCCATAAATATCCGCGTAATGCGCTCGCATGGCCGCTGGCTGTGAATCGAGATAGGCGAACAGCCCCCTAGACCCCCCCATTTTGGCCCCCCGTGTCAGGGGTCGTGGCTATACAATCCACCCTGCGACCGGAAAGTCATTAGATGGTTGTTTGGGGCATGTCGTATGTTTTGCGATTTATAAGCCTGCAAAAAATGCCAGCGTGCATTTAACCATTCTGGACGTTGTCTCCTATCAGCGCCTATAGGAGCACTGACAGCTTGATTGGTCGCGTTTGATCAACGTGACCCTGTTTTGCAATGGTAATTCTTCAAGTTACGCAACGAATTGCACATAAGTGTGTTTAGCTGTTGAGCGCACCTTAGCAAAGGTCATTCTCATTCGATTGCGGTGTGTCGGAATATCTAAGCGACTGTTTTGTGTAATATGGAAATTTCTAACCATTTTGATTCACTCAACCCATTGGCCACTGGCGGCCAGCCTCAATCTGTTTGCTTCATGTTTCCAAAACCTTTTTCTTACGTATTTGCATCAACATTTTTGTCGTTTTCACCTGGAAGGGGTTGAGAAAGACAGTTTGGTTCCAGTTCGCAAGAAAAACTCTGAGACTTCACTCTCAACGACTTCTTTCTTACTTCAAACTTGCTTGAAAATTGGGAAACTCTATGAAGGACTAGATGCTGCTGTTCTAGATGGTTGAGGCGGATTCATGCTTTCAAAAGTTTTTTCTTGGTTGATCAGTATGATGAAAAGTGTTCTGATTTATTTGGCTTAAATCTCATAGCTTAAACGGTAAATAAAATTAATTGAGTATTTTAAGGGCGACCCCATGACCGTTTCAAAATTTTGTAGATAAAAAAAATTATCATTACGATTGGTTTATTTTTCAGTTTTTCTTGGATTCGGTTTTCAATTGCTCACTTAACATATTTTAAGTTTCTCTCACACTTTGTTCTGTCAGTTTTCAGCGCTTTTTCCACATTCACTTGGAATCGTTTGCTTCGTACCGTCGTTAATGACCTTTTTTTATAGAAGCAAGTTGAGTAAAGGGAACTTTGAAAGCTCAAAAAGCCCGTTTCAACCAATTCGGGTTTTCTTCAAGCTTATGTGAATTTATTGTCCTTAAATTCGCTAATAGCGTGTAATCAGTAATAAAATCTGTCCAGGCGCCACGGCGTGATTTGCTGTTGCTAATAATCAAAAAACTTCTTCAGTGTTTAGGATATTCACAATATTATCGATTGGGAAACTTTTAAGTCTTTTAGGGATGATTTCCGAAATTTGGCACGTTAATCGAAAAAAAACTGTTTCCCCAAGGAAAGTCCCAACTAAGTATAAAAATGTGCACACATTTTTTAAATTGGCGCCCTTATTTTAAGAGTTTAAAACTTTTTGGTGAAATCTTATGAGTGAACGACTTGTTTTCCAGATTTTCTATCGAAATGGCCATGAAAATGAAAATATTCAAGTTCATCAACTGTTCTTCTCTCTCAAAATCTTCTGAAAGAAGAACCGTAGTTTAAATTTTACCGTTATGGGTAAATTTTCCAGTAAGGACTTAGATGAAGATTTAGGGAATGAATGAAATGAAGTCTTGAATCTTCAGCGAAATGTACTGAATGCAAGATGTAGAAGTAGGTTCAGGCTAAAAAATGCAGAAGTTGACAAAGAGGAGCAACAATGCTATAAAGTTCTATCTGTTGAAGAAAGATCGAAAAGGTGGGCGAAGTTTTGTTTAAACATTTTAACCGCGCAATGAAGACGTTGTGATTTTTCTAATGTTCCGACAACTTTTCTGGTAAACCAGCTTTGATGATCAATAAATTGCCCTGTTGTGACGTTCTATCTGATTGTGAAGATTAAAAGAAAAAAGTTGACGGTTTCAACGCTTTTTTAGCTCCTTCATGCCTTGTCTGGACATCTTCAATCTCCATTAAGCGTTGAGCAGACGAGAATCTTTCTGTTTTATCCCATTTAAGATCAAGCGCAATTTGAACTGAAGCAACAAACTCAAATTGACCATTGTGAAGATCTTGTACCGTGCTGGGTTGGTCTTTTTGGGTCAATTCGTCGTTCGACAGGAAAAGTGTAGTTGTGCTCTGAAGATTTGGAAGATTTTTCGATTTTCTTAACGTGCTCAAAGCTCCATAGTTGTTGCAGAAGACATGACTATTGAAAAAGGTCGAAAAAAATTCGTTTTGCGACTGCCTACAAGCGCGAAAGACTCATTAGTTTATTAAGTTTTTTCGGGATTTTGACCGCTTCATGTTTTGTTATAGGCAAAAACGCTTAAGAGCATCTTTGCTTGTTTGATTGGCTAGAGATAATGCGTGGGAAAGAAAACAAAATCCAGAGTCTAAACTGTTGTATTTATTGAATGGCTGTTAAATATATGAAAAGTACCGCAAATATGAGAATATACATTTTAGCGAAAAAGTCGGTAAAACACTAGTAACGCTGTTAAGTATAATATAAATCGAGGCATGCTGAATACCATTTTCTGTTGAAAGGCCACCTATTCCTAAGTATACAGGTTGTCGCTACTTCGAACAGCCCTTGTATAGAGGGCAAAAAGTACTAGTATCTAAACTACAATTTGTTCTTCGTAAATGGTGTTTCACTAGCCAAACCCTGCGAATTTTCGATGAGTTTTCCGAAGGAAAACCTGTGCGAAAATGCGCCTCTTAAACCGTAACGATATAAATTTTGGACTCTATTGCAGTAATATAATTTGTTTAAATTCCTAAGCACCTTCAGGTTGCTATCCAGGATCCTTCTAGTGAGAGTTAGAAACGCTATTTAGTGATCCCTGGGCAATGAGACGGACTAATCATCTTTACGTATCGTTTAGTAATAAATTATTACCCTACTTATACATGGTGGCGCTTCGGCTGAAAGCCCCTTCAATCAACAGCCGTAGCCAAATGGCTCTATCCAGAGCTAACCTGCATATAGAGCTGGCTAAAGCCACTGAGGCTCTGTTGAAGTTAATACATTAATAAACCTACAATGAACTTGTGTATAAGTATATAAAATAGGTACATGCAAAAGGTTTTTTTTCAAAATATCTTTCACTAACCATACAAAATTCTCAATCAGAGGGTCTCAATTAGCAACGAAATCATTAGCGGAAGCATTATTAGTAGTGTAGTGTCAGGGTGGGAGGTTTCAGCGCCGACATTGGCTCGAGCTTAAAACATTTACATTTCTCCCAATATATATACATTGCAAAGTCGACTGCTGGAAGCTCGCTGGCCCAAGATCCGAAGTTTTCCGTACATCGCACCCGACACTGGTGCGGTGTGCGCAAATGGCTGTGTCATCGCCTAAGAGGTGGCAGTGGCGCAGGGGCAGGTGCTTCTCCAGGTCATTAGAAACGCTCGCCCCGACCTCCTAGTGCGACAACGGTTACATTTCAGATCTGAAACAAAAAAAAACACACGCAAATTACTAAAAATTATTGTGTTGGTAACAACGACTTAGGAATATTTCAGCCGCATCTCGTCTAGGGCTATTTTCGTTTTTCGATAGATCGCTCTAGTACCTGCCTCAAACTGAAAATAGCCTCAGCCCAAATTAAACGCGCTAAAAATAGAGGGCAAAATAACATTTTGTCGCATTTGTGCGATAACCGGATAGAATGGGCTGGTTCTGGACGATGTGTGGACATTTACGAAAGGACAAGCATTTGAGCCTAAAACGCTCGCTGAAGTGAAAACTTCCCTTAAATTAGTCTTGAAGATTTTGAGGCCAAAGAAGCTAATTATTGTAGTGGTTCCACAGTTGAGAAACTGAAAGATTTTGTTAAGGAAATGACCCGCAGAAGGATCTGTTTTTTGAAGGGGCTACCCAGCTAAAAACAAGTTTTTTGGCCTTTAAGTTGGCAAACTCAGGCAGATTGGAAAGTTGTGTGTAGAAACTCTCCCCAGATGCTCCTATTGTGCTTCATTAACAATTGGTTTGGAAACTCTTCAAAAAGTTGCATTTTTGCGACCACAAAGTGGAGGAGGTCGAGCAACTAGATTGAATTGAACATGAACAGAATTGATGGAGAAGTTTCGTGTTTTGAGCGGTATTTTTCAATTGTTTGGTCCCAAATTTGGGAATATGAAGCAAATGCGATGAAGAAACTGTCCATAGAAGATCCTGTTGTTCTTCGCTTCCAAGTAATTTAAAAATTGATGTAGAAGTTGCAAGTTTTGAGTAAATGTTTCATTTTTCGATCGTCAAATGCGAAGCTGAATTGGAAACCAGTTGAAGAGTGGGTCCAAAGAAGAAAGTATCTCGAACTTTTGTGTTTTGCACAGTTTTTCTCAATTGTTGAGAAACTGAAGCAGATTGATGCAGAAACTGGCGGTAGAATATTCTCTTGTTCTTGACTGTTAATACAAAAGCTTTAAATCGGATGAAGAAGTTGCATGCTTCGGACAGTTTTGTTTATTTTTGTAAACCAAACTTTTTCAGTTTTTCACCATCTAAGTTAAGAAGCTGAAACAGACTGAAGCATTTGACCAAAAAAATGTTTATGGAGAAAGAAAAATTATAAATTGTAGGAACAAATTTCCATGTATAGCAGTTTTTCTCAATTTTTGAGCCTTAAAGTTGCTGAAGCTAAAACATGCTGAATAATTTTTTTCTGAAGAAGCATCTCCTGAAGATTTGAAGATCTCCAAGGTGAAGTTTTGCTAATTTCTGGAATCTCCAAATTCAGATCTAAGATCACTGGAAAGGTTTGCAATTTGAGGAAAAAGGTTCCAATTTCGAGCATTTTTCCTCAATTTTCGATTTTCAAACCTAAGAAATTGAAGCAATTTTATTGAGAAAACTGCCTGCAGAAGTTTGATTTGTTCTTGGTCGCTGATTCTTCATATTGAGAAACAGGAGCAAGTTGAAGATTTTTACTGAGAAACTGAAATCTGACGAAGCACAAATTGATGCAGATGGAGGTATTTGAGGAAGAAACATTCCGCAAAAGATTAAATTGTTGTTCACTGTGCATTTTCGGGCTTCAATGTTGAGGCACTGAAGCAACTTGGACATTTTAAAAATGATGATCTGCATGCGCTAAATATTTTTTGATTACTAAGTAATCGGAAATTCTGAAGGAAAAACTGCTTGAATCTTCCAAAGGAGCAAAAGATTGCAAAAGAAACTCACCAGGATTGAATAGAAGCACACGATGCTCTTCAAGACGAAGTCAAGTCGGATCACCTTTATTCATATTAGGTTTGAATGAACGCGCAATTTATTTTAAAGCATCTTGGCATTTAACTAGCTTCTGATAGCTGAATAATTTGATGAAATTGCGAACTGAAGTTAACGCGGATGAAGGAAGAAAGCAGACATTTGTCCCGTTCTCTCATGTGCAATGATTCGAAATATTATGATGAATTTAGAGCAGTTGTTCAAATATTTGAGCCTCAAAGTTAAGAATCTAAAGCATGCTGAAGAAATTGATGAAGAAACTGCCCGCTGAAGATTGTCTTGTTGTTTCATGCTGATTTTTCACATCTTTGTATTGTGAAACCGCAGCAATTTGAAGATGTTTTTGAAGAAACCGCATCCTCTGAAGATTTGAAGATTTTCAGCGAGAAGTTTTGCTAGTTTCTCGAATCTTGAAATTCAGATCTCAGACAACTGGAAAGGTTTGCACTTTGTCGAAAAAGTCCCAATTTCGAGCATTTTTGCTCAATATTCGAGTTTCAAAGGTCAGAAATTGAAGCTAGTCAAACAGTTTCATGAAGAAAACTGCCTGCAGAAGATTATGTAGTTTTTCTTCGGTCGTTTTTCAATTCTTCATATTGAGAAACAAGAGCAAATTGAACATTTTTATGAAGAAACAGAAATGTGTCAAAGGTTTGTACCTCAAAGTTAAAAAGTTGAAGCAATTGATGAAGGAACTGCTCGCTAAGAATTGTATCGTTTTCTGCTCATTTTTCGCGTTTTCTTGTTGCGAAACTGTAGAAACTTGGAATTTTTTTCTGAAGAAACCGTATCACCTGAATATTTAAAGATCTTCAAGGAGAACGTTTGTTAAGTTAAGACATCTGGAAGGTTGGAAAATTGGTCAAGAATTCTTAATTTCAATCATTTTGTCTAACATTTTCACGAAAAAACTGCGTGCAAAAAATTGTTTTCCGATTCTTCATATTGAGTAAGAAACAAACTTGAACATTTTCATGCATAAACTGAAATGTGACAAAAACTGCTCGCTGAAGATTTTATTGTTATTTTCCTACTCATTTTGAAGAAGCAGTTTTGCGAATTTATGACGAAAATTTGGACGCCGAAGCACTGATGCTTATTGCCATTTGTTTCGAATCACTTTGCATTCAACTTGCTTCTGATGGCTGGAGGATTTGTTGCATATTTGCCCCAAAAAAAACGGCCATATCAGGAATGTTCTCTGTAGCGATCACTTGAATTGTGACGTATAAATCGCAGGAATTTTTCAACTTTCACGAAACACCCGGCAAAAACAAAAGACGTGCTTTAGAGATATTTACGAGCGGATGGCTAATCTTGACCACTGCCAAGACGGCAGAAAATATCGCCGCTGTATTTCCTGCTTTTGCAATATCGGGGCAAGTGTAAACATTGATTTAGATCGGACGTTTCGAAACAAAGTGTCGCCTCCTGTTTTTGACCGGTAATCCATGGACATCCCGAGAGAAGTTTGTTTGTCTTAGCCGCCCCCTGTTTCGTAACATTACACGAACAAATCATCATCTTCGGTTGGGGTTTTTTTTTATGTGAATGAAAGGGGTTGGCTGTCTATTGGTAAACAAGCCGACCAATCCAGTGTCAGTGAACTAAAGCACCCCGATCCAGTTGGCAGTTGTCATTCCGTTCATTTGCCAAGTGGAAGCCCCCCAAGTGAATGGAAACGCACGGTGGTTGGCAGGCCTGTCGATTCCTTGGCCTAGAGAAGTTTTGCCAAAAAAATCCCACGATAATGAACTAGATCTTGGATGACCGGATCCATGCCAGATGCACTGGCCTTTGTTTCACTGCCACCAGATCCAGAATCGTCCAAACAGTGCAACTGGAACTAGTCTGTCTGCAAAAAAATTGCTTAAAGTAGGTGAAAGGGGGCGTGGTTTTGAAACCATCCAACTTGGGGCTGTGGTATAAATCAGGTGAATTCATCGCGCATAATGCGAGCCATAAACTCGCAAAAATAGCCCGATTTGTCTGCGACGCTCCAATCGCATCCGACTACTTATATATGCATTCAAGTTGCAAAACAAACTCTTTGACCCATATAATCGTTGTTTTATCACCCTGTCCGGGCGCTAGTTTTTCCTCTTCTCGTCTACTGGATGGATGTTTGATTGGGCCTCACAGGGCAGAAATAGACTTGTTTACAGAAAAATTAATTAACGGTTTTCAGCGGCCGAAATAGCTGACCTCCGTGTCGGTTGACGCATCAACTCGCAGCTGTATAAATAGCCGGTAGTTTTTTGTCCTTGGTGACTTTGCTTGGAAAAACTCAAGTTTCACACGCTCGAAACAGCAAATCTCCAAGTTCGGTGAGTTGTTCGCGTAAAGACCGCAACCGCCATAGTACGAGTTGTTATTTTATATATACGCGGAATCTTAACACTTCAAAGTGGTTTTTGGCCGCTCAATCCGCAATAATAAACGGATGTGCCTCAACGTTGAGGCCAAGGCCGTAATCGCTCTTGCCAGAAACCGTGACGTATCTGTTACGTTGCACGGACGTATTGATGAGTCCGGGACACAGGTTGTTCTCTTTGATTTGCCAAAATCTCATTTTCGCTCATTTCGTGCAACAGTGCCTTGCAATCGCCAGATTTTCACCGCGAAAGGTTTCCACTTTTCTTCCCGAACAGTCTTTTGCTTCTTCTAGCAAATCGACTGCAGCCAACCAGACCTCACGGTTCAAATAGTTTAAGCAATTAGAAGACTCTTCAATGTCTTTGGCCTGGGCAGAGGCACAACACTAATGCTTCGTCAAGTTTCAAATTGCCGAAACTCACTAGCGAACGGAAGGAAAGAACTATGCTTGAGACGTTCGCTAATGAACATTCTTCACTTCAACTGACCGAGGTTTCTTCTGCAAATCTACATCAAAGAATGAAAGACAGGGAATAATATCTAGACACTTTGCCCCTTTTGAAGTTGAGCCAGTATTCACTGTCTCGATCTTCAAGAAAAAACACGTTTAATCAACGTGAACCAGTGAAGTTAAAGAGTGAAGATTCTCCATATTATGATGAGATAATCATTGAAAATGTTTTCACTTTGCGTCATCATCAGGAAAATTCAAAAACTGCTCTAAAATTTGGTTTCAATGTTGGCATGTTTTTTGCAAGTGTAACTCTTTTGCCAGCTCTTTCTAGAAAAGACCTTGTTTGGGAAAGTGAAAAAGTTTCGATGATCTGTCGTTCTCACACTTTGTTGCATTTTTTTATTTGCTTGGATTTTCCTACTTTTCCATGTTTCCAATTTTCACCATTCACCATCATCAGACAGTTTTTTAGAGTTCGTTCAATTTTCTCGTTTGTTTCTACAAGCCACACTTTGACTTTTTTCTTAGAAATCGTCGAAAGACAAAGACTCTCTTTTGGAAGCATTTTCTAAAGAAATGTTTCTTCTATAAGCTGCAAAGGTTTTGAATTTGCTCCAGAAAGCAAACGCAATCTGCGTTTGCTTTCGAAGGTGTGTTTGCAACTCTGATTTTTGCATTAATTTCCTAAAAAGCCGGTTGTATTTATTCGAGGTTTGTAAAGAAAGTTGTGTGTTAAAACCCAAAAACGTTTCGACCATCAGGGAATTTGGCAATATTTTCGGAAAATTGTGTTTGTTGTTTGTAGATTCATTTTCTAAGAAACCAGTAAAGTTGCAACTTCACTTTTGTTCTCGCCGTTCCCATCAAAGTCGAATCTATCAGATGCAAAAGTGTCGGTTTTGCATCAACATCAGGCAATTTTGCGGAATTTTTCAAAGTTGCGTTCGATTTTCTCGTTTGTTTCTGTAGGCCGAAGTTTGAAATTTTTTGCTCCAGCATCCAGTGAACACAAAAGTCGTCTTTGTCAGCATTCGCTTGAAAACGTGTCTTCTATAAATACGAAGAGTTTTCAATTTTCCAAATTCGCTTTCGATTCTCTCGTTTGCTTATGTGGTCCAAATCTTGACATTTTTCATCTCAGAAACCTGCTAAGTCAAAAACTTGTCTTTATCCGCATATTTTAGGCAAAACTATCTTCCATAGATCGCAAAAGTTACGAAACAATTTGAACAACCTCATCATCAGACGATTTCATGAATTTTTTTCCAACTTGCGTTTGATCTTCCCATTTATATCTGCAAGCTGAAATTTCAGATAATTTTTCTTAGTATCCACATGGCAAAAAACACTTTTATCACCATTTTCTAAGAAAAATCCTCATCTATAATTAAATTCTGAAATTAGTTTGAAACAGTTGGTCTTCATGAAGAAATGGTCCACTGAAGATCCTACGGATCGTTATTTTTGTAAAGAGAACTAAAACGAAGATATAAAAGAGCTTCCGCCGTTCTAAAATACTTCAGGGCCCGAGTGATGATGACTAGCTCACACGCTCGAAATATGCTGGGTTTTTAACAGCCTTGTAATAAACTGTTTGTGGGGAAAACTGTGTTCTTTGCTTGAACTCAGCGCGATTTCTTCAAATCTATAAAAATAGAAGAACTTCTTCAAGCTTTTTTACTTTAAATACTTTTTTATTTGTTACGTTAAATTGCGCCAACAGAATCATTATTGAAGAGAAGAAATTTTCAGAATTCAGATTAAGTCCAAGATGAAAGGCTCTTTTCCCTGTTGGAATGAAGATAATGATGTAGTGATAGAATGTTTCATGCTTCTTTAAGCTCTGAAGCTCAAGTTTTCTTCAATTTACTCAACAAAGTACAATTGGAGGAAACTGATCTTCAGGATCATAAAGATCTTGACGCTTGTTGGCTTTCTTGAGGCAAAAGTTGCAATTTCGCTTTGAATATTTGAACCAAGTTAGCTAAAAATTAATTCGATTCGGAAAGAAGCGTTCTTAAAGCACCATTTTCCAGGGCAAGTTGCAATAAATTTAGATAATAAAGATTTAGAGAATGAAGAAGGCTGATTGCACTGTACCTTGAATCTTCGGCGAAATGCGTCAAATGGAAGATGTAGAAGTAGGCTCAGGCTAAAAAATGTAGAAGTTGATAAAGAAGATACAGAAGAACAACGCTGTAAAATTCTATGTGCCAATGAAAGATTACTAAGAACGACAAGGTGGGCGAAGTTTTGTTTAAACATTTTAACCGCGCAATGAAGACATTCGCTTTCCGAGGACTTTTCTTGCAAAACAGTTTGGAAGATCAATAAATTACCCTGCTGTGAAGTTATAGAAGGAAGCATTGCTCTCTGCCACTGTGAACATTTGAGGGAAGAAGTTAACGGTTTTAACACTTCTTTAGCTTCTTCACGCTTTGTCTGGTGCCACAAATATTCATCAAGCATCGAGGCGAAGAGAATCTTCCTGCTTTGTAGCGCAACGTGAAAAACTGAAGCTGGAAACTTTCATTAATGTGAAGATCTTGATGTCGGTTTTGATTGGTTGATTTTTTGTGACACAATTTGTCGTTTGGCGGAAGAAGTGCAGTTGTGCTTTGAGGATTTGGAAGATTTTTTGATTTTATAAACGTGCTCACGCTGGGTAGTTTTTGCAACAAACATCAAGCAGAAGATTTTGATGAATTGTGTTTCGAATCTTTAGTGAAGCACTGGAGAATAAATGCAGATGTTGCCATAGAAGATTATTAGTGATTAAATTTATGATTCGAAATTTCATCACTGTGTGACTGTGGCTTCTTCTTGACTGAAACGATTTTCCAGTTGTTTGGTGCTGGGGAAGGTTTCGTTGCAGGAATAGTGTCTATATGGAGAACAGTGACAAATTGAATTTCGAAATTGCCCCGATTAAGAACAGCGACAGGAGAAACGCATTAGAAAGCGGCAATCTAAAAATAGGGGGCTCGGAGGTATCCAGTGGCTGCTTTGGTACTCCAGGTATAAATAGAACATTAGCGGCGCAGATGTGTGTTTGATTTGATTCCACAATTTCCTTGTGTACGGACTTTAATGGCCCCCCTAATAAACATTAAACAGGCCAATTTGTCCATCATAAATTCCATTTTGGAAATGATTCAAAATGCGGAAGTTTCAACGAAAGTTCTTAAGTGTCCGTTTTATTGTTAAACACCCGCACTGAAATGGCTGGGAAGCATATTTTCAGCATGCAAAGCCGGCACAGGCCACGCTCTAATGCATCCTTAATAATGAACTTGATTTATTGTTGCGTTGGATGCACAAAGTTGGTCGCATTGAATGCTTCAGCTCTTATTTATCCATAGAAATTTATCGCTGCAGCATATGTTGGCAGTTGCCACGTATAAATCATGCTGCGCTACATCAATTTAATGCTACAGATCTAAATCGGTGATTGATCAAAGGGCGATTTAAATGCCGCCAATTTTGGCATCAAATCAAACCTTTGCCGCTCGCCGATTAACGCTTAAGAGACTATGAGACTTCAAATTGCGCCTACCTGGAAAAACAATTTTTCTGGCATTCGCCCTGAAACTGGACGTCCATAAAGTCGTCAAATCTGCAGCTGCTGCTTCTAGATTAGCACGCGATTAGTATACGATTAACAACTAAGGCTAGAATTACTTAGAACGACATTTTTCGCAAGTTCGACGTCGCTGTGCGACAACGGCTACGTGAGGCGTCGCGAAGCGTCGCGACGCCCGAGCCGAACTGCGGTTGCAGCGTCGTCTCGACCCGGCGTCGATTGTCCCCTCTTTGCCTCATCAAATCATATGGCCTTTAGTCGACGCTTTTTCGAAAAAAAGCCCCATTTTAGAGGCTTGCAAGACTCTCGCATCTATGGCTAGATCTTCTGCTTAATGTTTTTTGCAAAAACCATACAGCTTTGAGCTCGTTTATAAAATCGGAAAATATTGCAAGTATTCAAAGACCAACTAATCGAAACGAGCATGAACATCTTTACAATTTTATTATATTTTTTTCTTTCCAGGGCTTCAGTCAAAATGTGAAATAAAAATGGTCATGTTGTTGTTGTCGAAACGTAAAAATATGAAATAAACGATACGAATTTTTATTTTTAATAGAAATTTTTATTTCACATTTTGACTGAAACCGAGGAAAGAAAAAAATATAATAACAACTACGCACAATCAGGAAAAAATTTAAAAAAAAATAATCTACAATGGTTACTGTGAGTTTCATTTTCAGTTTTGCAAATTGTGCTTGAACTTAGTTTGGAATAAAACACAAAGATTCTTTTCTGCTCAAGGCTCGACGAAGATTTGTGATACCAGACAAAGCGTGGAGGAGCTAAAAAATAGTTGGAACTTCTTGAAATTTAAAATTCTTCTTCTTAACTTCTAAATCTGAAGATTTAGAGGGTCTTCAAAGTGAACATTTCTGTTCCAAAAACATTGACAACAGTGTTTCCATTCTACCAGTGCATCAGTTAACACTTACAAAGCGTCCAGAGTGTTCCGATTTATATCGCGCAAACATCAGACTTTTCGTCAGTGTCTCTGGCTCTGAGCCAGAGGATTCTGATGTCTGTCCTCCACTCGACCATGAAAGGTTCGGAAATAAACAGGACTTTTGGTCCTCCAAATGAGGCAAAATCCAATTTTCCCGGACTATCGGCAAAGTGAGTAAATCTATCTGCAGTGTGCTAGAGAACATAGGGGACCGCGTGCGCTCAGCAGGAATATGCTATGCATGCATCGTTGTTTATGTTGAGCAGGAATCAGGATATGTGGGCCTGCCTGAACGGCTCTAGTTAATGAGCGAACGTTATCCAGCTATAAGGACGACGTTAATAGTCACGTTTACCGGCGACTTTGCCCCGGAATTTATTTTATGATGTAGTAAACTGGAAGGAACATGGAACGCGTGACTTAATTCCAGTTAAGTTGCTCTAATAGGAGTTTATCGAGGACAACCGGCCACTGCAGCTGAGCAATTGCTTAGCATAAAAAGGCCTTTCTTTATATCCAGCATCGTTTTCTGGATATGTTTATCGTGCTCCGCATGAATCGTTGCTGTTTTCATGCATTCATATTGCAACGTTACGCGATGTCGCATCATTGAGAAGCTGGAATGGTTCATTTTATTTCCATGCCTTCGGGTTTAATTTGTTGGAAAAGACGCTCGAGAGTTGAAATAATGCGGCAACGGCGAATTAAGCGACCGATTTCTATTCATGAAACTGTCCTCAGTTGACTCACAAACATTTGCAACAATCCTCTCCGGTTGACACCGATGTCTTCTTCTCCTGCTGGATGACAACCTTTCGATTTTCCAGCCGGTCCCGATTTTTCCTCGCCAAGATTGCACGCTTGCAAAATTCGGAAATAAAGAACAGACACTTTTGAAATATTGGAAATTAAATCAATTTATGGGGCTGTATCTGCACTGGGGGATTACTCTCCGCAATCCTTTCTAGCGCTGGAAATATTACGGCATTTCGGATGCATTGTATTGTGAAAGGAATGGAAATAAAAGTCGATTCCAAGGAGGCGATATCCATTCGGCTTAAAACCCATTACGGCTCTAAATCAATACACTTAGGGACAAATATCTAATTATTTCCAGAACTGCAATGGGAGACTGTTGGAAGAACTTTGCATCTCGATTGGAGCCTTTACGAGTTAGCAAAATTTGTTCACTTTGAGCGGATGTCCTCCGCCTAGTCCTGATTTATAGTCGTGTGATTTTATTGGTTTTTTCCATTTTGGCGACTATGGCTCGGATTTTCGCAACAGAATAGTGCTGCCATATCGAGCAAACTGAGAAAATATATGAAAATAGCGAGCCCAACATTGCAAAATTTGGCGCACAGCGCGATTAGATGAAAATGTTGATGAAATCTTGAACGTTTTCACTTATATCTCGGAAACGATTGACTCTATCATCTATCATTAGATCAATCATCAATATCATTAGAATCTTTTCGATGGAGCGAAAGTTCACTTTTATATCTTTTTTGCAATAATTTGCCCTAATTTGCACCCTACATTCTTAAGCGAGGCGATTAGAAACTAGAATTGAAGATCGAGCAATAGATAGTCACCCTTAGGACCCCCAAAGTCTCCAGATCCAAGTCTAGTAGGTATTTTTCAAATTGGCAGCCAATCTATTGAAAACGGCCATCCAAAGCGCCTGATTCATGTCCAGTGGACTTGATTGGCAAATTGATTTATCGCCTGCAAGCAGGTAAACAAAACAGTTGTTGGACTTGGACAAAGTTGGCAGCCAAAACCACGCTTACCAGACTCGGTGGCTGGATGTTAATTTCCAGATCGGCTGTGTTTGCTGTAACGCTTTTCCAGATAACCGTGACGCGGCTTTTCGTTAATCCACGACATTACCCTTTGACATTAGTCTTTGTTAGGCCACGTAGTCGCAATTAGCGAGGCGATGCACTTAGCGGAAAATAAAAATTCTAATTCGCGACGTGCTCGTGTAATTAGCCTAATTGCGATCTGGATGGAAATGCTGATTCAAACTTAGCATTTTTTTACTGTTTTTGTCGTTTCGACCGTTTCATGTTAATACGCCGGAATCGGCCTCTCGTTAATCTCCATTAAATCCTATCTTTAGCTCATTGTTTTTGCAATTTTCAAATTATATGCGAGCTTTTATGCGAAGACGGAGCATAATCTAAGCATAGCCCATATAACTTTTGACCAAATGGCCGATATAAATCCGATTTATCGGCTCGCTTTCAGCGATCTGTATGCCAGAAAATGCGCTCCAAAAAATCGCTATTTTAACCCGACGATCATAATAATCCATAGTCATACATTTTATACTGCACAAGTGGGAATTAATTTTAACCGAAGCCTATTCCTGTGCATTTGTTCCCCGTATTGATGAAACACTGTATAATTTTTCGTCACTTCCAACCACCTCAAAAATGTTCATTTCTATAATGAAAATTCACACTTAAAAAGTATAGGTACAGTATAAACGTCCTTTAAAAAATCGCAGGTTTCTCCTAGTTATTTTTTTATATGAATACAAACCCAAATAGAGAGCATTGAATATAAAATAAACGGGTTAATCTATATTATGGGTATTTTATTTTCACACGCTTAGCAAAAACATGGCCGCCGTGACGTCATACAGTGATAAACATCTAGGAAACTATATTTTTTCATTGCATCGACAGGTGGCGCCTCTGATTTCGACATCCGAGAATGTCAACATGGCGGAGTTGCGACATATGATTTGTTTGTATTGTGTGTAATTCTATGTTCTGAACGGAAAACTGGCCAGTGAAGTGCTGTTTTCTTTCAATCAAACAAAGTAAATATGGTAGGGCTCAGTGCGCGGATCCAGTCAGCGAAAAACTTAACCGTATCTCTTAGTGAAAATGTCTAACAAAACCAAGCGAAAAATTACAGTCAGTCTCAATACTGTGAAGTTGAAAACTCAGACGAAAGCTCGTCTCAGTGTGTTTGATCGCTTGGGGATCAAATCGGCAGCCACCACGCTTAAGGAATTTTGCCGCCCTTGGGCTCAGACCGGCTCCTGTCCCTACGGAAAAGGTTTGTCGTTTTTTGGGGTTAGGTCGTCCGCTTTACAGTCGGCAATCGGAAAACACAATGGTTTGTGGTTTACAATGAACTCACAATTTTTGTGTTTATGTACTTTATGTCTTGCCGAAATTCTCTTTTTCGAAATGTTATTTTAAACAATCTGAAAAAGTAAATTCAGTGAAAAAATACACTAAAAAACTTTTAAATTATGTTTCAAGAACAACAGCCCATAATTGGGTACTCAAAATTCTGCCTAACATCCATTGCAGAGAAGTTTTTGCGAACCTATTTTAAACCTCCTAGTTGATTGCGGTTATGCTGCACGTTGCACATGTTTTCTTCTTATTTTGGGCGCGCCTGCAACGTTGCACGTCAATAGTCAGATCCCACGAACCCAATGTTGTCACGTACTTTATCCATGCCTAATTATTTATACTCATGATACAATGAATACACGGTAGGATATTAATCGGTCGAAAACTCGATTTTCGTGCGCACATGACGTCACTGGTTACCACTTTGGTAAAGTGAACAGCTGATCCCATTTAAAATGCATGTAACGTAACCAGATTTTCACTGAATTCAAAAATGGAAAGTTATATGAAGATATGGTTTGCAGCATTGTATAGCTCAGTGCTTTGAAAATCGCGTTTGGGACCTGATTTGGGCTTATTGGGAAGAAAAATACTCTAAATAATTCTTTACAAAATCTGTGATGTTCAGCGTTTTAGGGTGCTGTGTTGGCAGAGTGTCATTTGAGAAATCGGATTGAGCCAATCGAAATAATGAATTAATTGTATCACAATGAATGAATGCACTGTTCATACAAGGAATTAATTGTCGTACAATGAGTTCATTGCATCATGGGGTCAATGCGTTTGGGCATGTTTGGGAATTCTGTAGACAAAACTGAGCATTTTGCGTTTGGTAGTTGGAAAGTGTACTCTTGATTGTTTGCTACTTTTAAGTGTCTGTTCAGAAATATAAAAAATGCGGTGTGTAGTCATTTCATTTGTATTAGAATGTACATATCATCCGCGGTACCACAAACCGCATATTCCGTCGTAAATAATAGGAAAGTAACATTGGGTCATTGTTTGGACTTCCGTCTCTTAAATCGTAATGTACTATTTCTGCAAGGATACATTTTCAGCTAACGCTATACTTTATTGCACAACTGGCAACTGTGCTGGTCTACAAAATAAATACATTTTCGTTTCTTTTAATTTTCAATTCTAAAATCTTCTGCAAAGCATTTTGTAATTATAAGGAAGATTTATAAAAAAATAATTAAATGTGACAAAGGCTAAATTAGCTATATTTAATCACATTTAGCAGACAGGAAAAAAGCACGCCCGGCAGTGATTGCCACTGACGTCACGCAAATCCTACCTTATATTCATTGTATCATGATTTATACTTGTAGCAGTTTCCAAAATGTGCTTTTCTCAAATGGCGTATATTGCCTTCAGGATCAACTAGTTGTCTGAGAAGTACGAATGTTTTTGTTTTTTTTTTTTTTTTTTATTTTAAAAAAACACTATTAAGCAGCTTCAGTGAGAAAATTTCTTGGATGGTCCATGTTCCTCTCCTAAAAACACACCTTTGAAGTTAACTTTGCCAAACCCCCTTATTTCTGCACGGAAATGATTTGTTCTATGCTGTTTGCAGGTTGTAAATATTCAAAGACCCACACCCTGATCAGTCCATCGAAGCAGCGCGCCGCAAAAATTCAACCAGACCCAAAGAAACATCATGCCAAAGAGGGGCACAAACGAACCAACGCTGGCGAGCCCGAGAACTACGACCAGTGGGACCCGGATGATCTAGAGGACGCCGATCCCGATGATCTCGAGCGGAAGCGCCAGGAATTGCAACGCGAATTAGAATTGCAAATGAAAATGGAGCACAAAGCCAGAAAGGTAATTCTATTGTCCATTGCCTCCAGTTGAGTGGTAGAGTAACGGCTGCCTCTGTTGCAGAAAGAGAAGAAGAGCAAAAAGGAGAGCAGCCCGTCTAGTGAGTCCAGCTCGACGTCGTCGGATTCGAGCAGCAGCAGCGACGACACAAGCTCCACCAGCTCGTCATCGTTGGAAACAAAGCGCAAGCGCCTGAAGAAGGGCAAGAAAAGAGCCAGCTCCTCCAGCTCGGAAAGCCGCGGCCACAAGCTGAAAAAGGCCAAACCCACTTCCAAGTCGGTCACTCGCGACAAATCCAAGAAAGCCAAACCGCACAGGTACGCGCCCAGATTATTCAATGAGCAAGCAAATTCTCCAGCATTTATTCTCAGCACTAAGGTAGCAGTCAAGTCGCCGTCTCCAGTGCGGCAGCGGAAAAAGAGCGAGACGCCGCCCATTAAGCCCAAGCTGGCCGTCAAAAGTGCTTCAGACACAAAGTCGCCCAGACCTCTGAGTCGATCGAGCGACCGGAAGGAGAAGCATCGCACCCCCAGCCCAAAATCGGCCCGAGAGAAGGAACGCGAAAAGGAACGGGAGCGGGAAAAGGAGCGCGAGAAAGAGCGGGGTAAGTGCTCTTTATCACCTCCCCAGCCGAAGACTTTACAGCGATGTTTTGTTGATTAGAGACAGGGTTGGCTTGATTTTTGTCGAGTGGTTTAAATCACCTGACTTTTTTGGAAAAAAATCACGATTTAAATCAAAGTTTACACACTTTTCAACATTAGCCTCTCTTGAAATTTTGTGACGAAATGAATAAGACCGAAGAAAGGCGACGGCATTTATAGATTAAAATCATGATTTTTTATTTTTTTAATAAAAATCAATTTTTGCCCAACACTGATTAGAGAAGGAAAAGGAGCGGGAGAAGGAACGCGAGAGGGAGAAAGAGCGCGAGAGAGAACGAGCGAAGCAACGGGAGAAGGAACGCGATCGCGACAAGAAAAAGGACTCCAGATCGCCCAAGAGAGACAGCAGATCCGCTAAACGACGCGAGTCGCCAGAATCCAGTCATTCCAGGGACAAAAAGAGTCCGGCACGCTCCAAGCCGACCAGCGCCCAAAAGCGGGACAGAAGCCCCGATAAGCGGGAAAAACGAGACGAAAGACCACGGTAAATCTATTTTCTTTTCCATTTCAGAGCGGAAGAACAAACCTTCGGAACGCATTGCACGGAAGACAACCTTTTGCTAGCTAAAAAAATTTAATTTTTTCAGTTCCGGAGGCAAGGACAAGATACCGGACAAATCACGCAAGGACAAGCGCGATTCGCGCGATCGTGACCGGGAGCGAGACCGGGACCGAGAGCGACGCCTACGCGAGGAAAAAGCTGCGCGAGACAAAGAGGCAGCCCGAGAAAAGGAGCGCCAAGAGGCCCTGGCCCGGTGCCAAGAAAGACAGCGCGAACGCGAGCGCTTGAAGGAGCTGGAGAAAAAGGACAGCGAAAGACGGGGCAGGGACAGAGCGCGTAGAGACGATAGAGGGGGCCTGGACAAACCTGCAGGAGATCGGGTGGAGCGTCTGCTGCCCCTGCCGGAGGACAGATTGCCGCAGGGGCGCCGTCATTCGGCGGACAGGGAGCGAGGGGACCGGCGCGGCCACTCGGCGGACACGCGAAAATCAAATCGAAACAGCCCCGAGCGGCATGAGAGGCTGGAAAGAGGCTACGAGCGCGAGCGAGGTTATGAAAGAGAGCACGAAGAGCGCGCTCGAGACTACGGGCGATTACGCGATGAACGAGCCAGACTGGAAGAGAAAACTTACGACAGTCCGTTTGACAGAGCGCGGCACGACGACAGACGCTACCTAGAAGTGGACGAGCATTATGCGGAGGCTTCGAAAGAGGGCCGCATTCCCATCGACGCCCGAAGCTACGGAGACGACAGGCGGAGGGAATTGTGGGACATTCGGGACGACCGTGTGGAGATGGACAGGTAGAGTATTTTTCGTTTAATTCATGGGTTAGTTGCGATGATGGCTTTTGCAGGGACTTCGCATCTCGGGGTCGTGGCTTCGCCAGAGCGGACGGGCGACAGGCGGCTTCAAAAGGACGCGCTGATTGGGTAGAACTCGATTTCCCAGAGAGCGAGTGGGACAGTCGGGGCAGGCGGCCAATCGAGTGGGAAGGACGTGAAGGTACTGGAGCGAAATGGGCGTTCATTGGCAAAATGGATGAGCTGATTGGTTTCAGGGTGGGATGCCTTGGAGCGTCCTCATGCCACAGAGGAGGAGTGGAGGCACTACGATAGGAGCCTGGGCAGTTGGTCCGCCAGCGACAACAGACGAAGATGGCCGAACAGTCGCAAGGAAAACAGAGAGGGCAGTGGCAAGCCGAGAGGGGCTCCAGCACAGTCTTCCGAGCTTGCGGCTCCCGAAGATGCGCGAAGCAAGGACGCAGCAGTGGGGGCGCAAACGCCTGCCGTTTCAGCTGAGACTGCTTCTGAGCCGAAACCGGTAGGACCATTTAGATAGACCGGTGAATTGGCACTGTATCGTTTTTTCAGGCCGTCACTCAGCCTTTGGAGCCAGACCAGAAGTCGCCCTCCATCAGCGGCAAACGACTGGCCGAAGACGCACCAGACGATGTGGTCGATACGAAAAAACCTTGCTTGAAGGTAGAGCCAGCGCCGGTTCTTGAGGACGACTTGAGCGAAATTAGCGACGATGCAGACGACATTCTCAACAGAGACGAGGTAAATATTCAGCTAGCAACTTGCTGTTTCCACCGGTGAAACCCAAGTAAGTATAGGACAGTTTATCGAATTCCAGGATATTGTTGATGCTGCTGCGGACGGGCCTGTTCAATCCGCAGCACTGGAGCCAGGCAGTGAATTTCCGGCCGATCAAGTTGCGTCGGCAGCACCGTCGCAAAAATCCCAATCTCCTTCGGGCTCTCCCTCAAAAAGCGCGGCCAAGGACGACTCGATTGACGGCGATAACATGGATCTGGACTTTGAGGAAATATCCGAAGACGAGCTGGATGAGGAGTCGAAAGTAAAGGGCATTGGTGACGCCCTGGGAGTGGATTGGGCCAGTTTGGTGGCCGAATCGCGGCCCCGCGTCAAACCCATAAGTTCGGCAAAGTTACGTTGGGAGCCTCACAATGTTCTGGTTCAGTTGGGCGTCTCCGTTCGCCTTGCGGGCGAGTCGTTGGTGAAAGACATTCTGAAGCAACACGCGGAGGCTGAGCTGAAGCGGGAGGTGAGGTCGGAAGAGGTGCAGATTAAGACCGAAGCTACTAACGGCATCAAGCTGGAACCGGGTGTGGCTGTTAAAGAAGAACCGGTAGACTGTGAGGACGTGGTGATATCGCATCCAGTGGCGGCGATTCAAGTGGAAATTCAGGCAGCGGATCAGATCCGAAGAACGTTGTTTACGAGTGTGGGGCCGCATCGGAGGGCTCTGTCTGCCAGAAGGGACTTGATGATCAGGAGGCATCTCTGCAACCTGCCCATCAACGACACTTATGTGGAGCCGCCTAGGCGGCACGACCCGGAACTGTTCAAGTTGGCCTCCCAGCTCTTTGAACAATATGCTTAGGA